TGTGTTTGTGTATCTGTCCTGGTTTTTCAACTTCAAGAGTAGGCAAGCAAAAATCGAAGTTTTGGAAGCACGGGACCGCGGATCCAGAGTCTGTTTTTCTTTTTCCTGACCATAGACATATTGCTGCTGTTCGCTAAGTGATCGCTCCCAAACCGTTATATTGTCATTATGACATCACAACAATTAACAATCATGTCTCTTTCCACTTTTGGAGGTATTCATTTTATTTCAGGATTTCCTAAAGATCGACTGTATTTCGGAGACTGCGTTCAACAAATTATTGGAGGCTACTGGATTAACGCACGCTGTGATCAAACGTTTCCATCATTTGTGTGCAAGAAAATAGGTAGTGGTTTCACATAAGCTTACTCTGATCAGTAACCTCATAATTCGTCAAAAATAACTGTCCGTATTTGCAGAGAAATCATATACCGAAGCAATCTCAACTCCGCGGGCATCCACAAAATCGGATTCACTTACGTTGTCCTCTGAGACACCACCAACGACCGTTGCTTCTCTTACAGCATCTTTATCGAATCATTCACACGAATCCACGTTATTTCCAGATACTGTTTCAGCAATTCCATATAGTCCCATATCTACGGAGACACCGACAGATGACTTAAAATCAACACTCGGAACGACTGTTTCAGCTGAACCATATACGGACATAAAGACTGAAGCAGCAAGCGATACTTCATCGTCCAATGGGTCATCTCAGTTTCCAATGAGCTACTCCCCATTTCCAAAATCCGATACGCCTTCAGCCACAGTTGCACTAGAAACTACGATGCCTCAAGATGCCACAGCTACAGTAACGTTAGAAACGTCTCGTACGCCATCTTCATTACCCACACTGGAACCGATTACGCCTCTAACTACAAAACCATCAACTGGCTCCTCATGTCCTGAATGCCTAGTGACATCCGATACTATTTTCACTAGTCCTGGACCTGATACATATCTCCCTTTTTCGACTACGCATTCATTTTTTGACTACTCTGTAACCACTTCGGTAACACCAGCAACAACAGGACCTCCAGTAGTGACAACAGGATCATCGGTAACGGATATAACATCCAGAACATCGGCGCCCACTGATACAGCAGATCAGTCATCCGCGAGTACCGGTGCCTTCCCCTCGGCATACCCGTCTGAAGTCCCATCTTCCACGTCATCGACATTTAACACCACAACACCTGTTTCTGAAACAACATCACCGATAAGCACTGCTGCATCCAGCCTAACAACGGTAATCACTGAACTAACAGCTACGGATGAGTCCACAACTGTGACATCGAACAGCACAGACACAGCAGCTCCACCAGTAACAACAGCAACAACAGTGATTTCCACTGCATCATCTTCAGCTGTGGAATCCACA